TTTGGTCTTTTTATGGTGTCACACAATTCCTGCATATTCCATTCTTGTGGTTTCTTAAATTTTTCATAATCTTTGCTTGCGTGGTCTAGTTGTCCCCTTTATCTTCCAGTCTTGATACTGTTTTCCATTTTGTTCATCCTATTGGTGAGGCTTTTTCCTGTTGTTTCTAATTGTCTTAATGAGTGTTTCACTTCCTCCTTCATTTAAGCCTGAGTATTCTTCAACGTTTCTAACTCTTTTCTGAATTCATTCAGAAGTTTATCCCTATCTTCCTTCAGTTCTTTGATTTCTTTATGGGTGTGTTCTTTAAATTCACTGAATTCTTTTACCATGTTTGTAATTGTTCTTTTGAGTTCCATGTCCTGCATTTTCTCAGGGGTGGGGAGGTCTCTCATTGTACTCCTCTAGAGGACTATTGGTATTTGGTGGGGATATGTTATTTTGGTTTTTCATGTTATTATTTTTTCTCTGTGATTTTAACGTGTGAATTTCTTTTGTAGTTTCTGATTCTTATATGAGACTCAGGTCTTCAAGTTTAGGTCTGCTTCTTTTTGTGAACTTTATGTGTCTTTGTGGTTTACTTTTTGGGCATGAAAGGCTGATTTGTCTAAGCTTCCAATTCTCTCTTTTGATTTTATATTGGAGTGGCCCGATTGCTTTTGTCTTCAGGAGTTCCCACAGAGGCCCAATTCAGATGAGGGTACGATGTTTTCAGACTTTCTCCTAAGGTCTGAATCCCTCCAGGAATTATTTTGGCCTCAGGAATTTGGGGGTTGGAATGGCCTGGGAGCCTGGCCCAGGAAAGATGCTGGTCTAGGGCAGCCGGTGTCCTTGTCACCCAGAGATGCAAAGGCAGATGGGGCGGCAAGATTCCCCAAGGACTCCTGGGGACTGCACTGAGGAGCTGTATTGGTCTGGATGCAAAGGATCAGGAAGAGCAAAGGTCAGCCCTGGAGGGTGGTGCAGGCCCAGGGAAGCAGAGGGAGGTGAGCACAGAGAGAGACCCAGAAGCAGTGCTCCTGGGGCCCAGAGAAGGCACTAAATTGGTCTTGATGAAAAGGATCAGGAAGCAGTATTGGTTCCCCTCGTATCTTGGCCCCCAAGAGGAGGAATGGGACAGGACCCAAAGTAGGAGAGACAGGTGGGGTAGATGAGAGGGTGAATGAGGCTGGGGGAGTCAGGGCTTGAAGGGCGAAATGGACTTACCCTGGAGAGAGGCCTGAGGGTAAGAGAGAGGCCTCTGGTGGGTGGTGCAGGCCCAGGGAAGCAGAGGGATGTGAGGGCCAGCCAGGCCCAGAAGCAGTGCTCCTGGGGCCCAGAGAAGGCACTATGTTGCTCTGGATAAAAAGACTCAGGAAGCAGTATTGGTTCCCCAGGTGTGTGGGGCCCCAAGACAAGGAATGGGGTAGAACCCAATCTAGGAGAGACCAGTGGGAGATATGGGAGGGTGAATGAGGGTGGGGGAGTCAAGGCACAGAGGGTGCAATGGACTTACCCTGGAGGGAGGCCTGAGGGTACGAGAGAGGCCTGCGGTGGGTGGTGCAGGCCCCAAATGTTGTATTTTTTTAAATGACATTTATTTATGGTGGAGGGCATGCCATGACACACCATGTAAAGGCCAGAGGACAATGTGCAGAAGTTAGTTCTACTTCCATCATACGGGCTCTGGGATTTGTACTTAGTTCATCAGGCTTGGCAGCAAGCACCTTTATCTGCTCAGCTATCTTGCCAGCCCAAATAGTCCATTTTTTAAAGAGCTCTATTGAAGCAGAATTCAAGAGTTCCATACAATTCACTCCAAATGTACAATTCAGTGGTTTTTAGTATAGTCATAGATTTGTAGTAAAATAATCATCACAACAAATTTTAGAACATTTTTATCACCTCAAGAAGGAACCTTATCCTGGGGTGGGGATGTAGCTGTTGGTAGCCCACTTGCCTAGAATGCACAAAACCTTGGGTTCCATCCCCGGAGCAGTGTAAACCAACCATGGTAGCACATACCTGTAATCCTGGCACTCAGGAGGAGGAGATAGGATGATCATGAATTCAAGATCATCCTTTGCTACATAGTGAGTTGGAAGCTAGCTTGAACTACATGATACCATGTCTCTAAATTAAGTAAGTAAAATAGAAATGAAAGTTAAAATAGGAAGGACAACAGTCCACCAAGTAGTCTGCATGCTTAACAAGTCACTTAAAGGTGGTGTCTCCACCTAGAGCATATAGATGGTGTTCCAAGTGCTTTGCTAATTACAGTGACTGGCTCTGGTCCTGGCAAGTCCATGCCTACTTGTGGATGAATGTGTTGTACACACTGCTGCATGTGAACCCACCTCCATGTCCATAGTGGCTCCCTCTGGAAACAGTGGCCTAGTCTAATTCAGTCATCAGTTCATCCTAGCCTGGCACTGACATTCTCTATAGCTGAGTCGTTTCTAATCTTACTCATTGCCCTTTCTCAAGTTGAATTAATAGTTTTTGTTGTTGTTGCTGCAGATGCCCATATAGGCCAGAATTCTTTTTTTATATAGTATTTTGAATACTTCTTTGAGAATTTTATGCATTTTGCAATATATTTTGATTATATTCTCTCCCCACTCCTCCCCCTAACTCCTCCCAGATCCACCCCAACCTCCTCCCAAGGTGCCAAGTTTCTTTAGAGAAAGTGCCACCATTTTTGTTGAAGGATGTGTTTTGAGACAGGGTCTCACTGTATAGTCCATTCTGTTCTGGAACTTACTATGTTTCTCAGGCTGGCTTTGAACTCATGGAGAGCCGCCTCAGCCTCTTGAGTACTGGAATTTAATACTTACTTTTTAAAATTATATGTATATATGTATGTCTGTGTGTGAGTTTGTGCAAATCTGTGCAGGTGTCTATATAGACCAAAGGCATCGGAGCTTCTGGAGCTAGAGTTGTGAGCCACCCAATGTGGATGCAGGGAACTAAACTTGGGTCCTTTGCAAGAACATAAGGTGCTCTTACTCATTGACCCATCTCTGCAACCTAGGTTAGCTTTTCAAAACTGATTTTCACTTAGAAATAACTGAAAACAGTGCCCTAGCTCTTGTTATTAAAAGAAAAGACACTGGATAGATTGTTTTCTTATTCTAGCATTCAGCTTGGCTATTTTTTTTTTTCATTTTAACAGGTATTTTGGTAGAAGGCGTCAGTGGGATTGTAGAGGGGCATCAAACCTTAGTGAACTTCACCAGCTACTAAGTGATATAATGATCAGAAGATTAAAGAATGACGTTTTAACCCAGCTGCCCCCTAAAATCAGACAGCGTATTCCATTTGACCTTCCACCAACAGCTGCCAAGGTGAGAACCTCTATTTAACTGAAAGTCTTATTTTAAGTTGTCATGGTTATATTAATGATATACATTGGGCTTCACAGAAGGAAAAGTCTTCTTTCTTTTTTTTT